TCTAAGTTCTTGACCTAATTAAACCTAGTATTAAAAAAAACTAATTATTTTTTTTTAAATTGAAAAATACGGGGTACCCGGCGGGTAACGGTTCCGAAAAATTGAGAACCGGAAACGGAACCCTTCTCAATCGGTTCCGTGTTTTAGGAACCGGAAGCGGAACCACTCATATCGGTTCCGGTTCCGGAACCGGCAGTTTCAAGGCAGTTCACCCGGTTCCGCTGCTCACCCCTAGTTTTTGCACATCGGATGGTATTGAATACTGACTCTATTTCTTTAATCCAACACCTAGCTTTAATTGGATCTCTTTCTTCCGAGAAGGTTGGTGGTTTGCAAGTCAAGAACATCTTGATATCCCCTTCTCTATTGTTGACAACCGGGACTGATGGGTTAATTTCCACTCTGCCAGTCTCGATTCTGGTAGGAATCCCCATAATGGAAGTCAAGGTTTCCCTTAGCTTTCTCATTTCTTCGGCCAACATGTCTCTAGTCACGTATTCTGGTTGAGGCATCTGTCCTGATTCATGTTCTCAGAATTGGATTCTGCTTTGTCTGTATTGACATCTGCCTGACTAACTCTGCCTCTTGTCTGCCCTATGCTTTGCTCTCTGCCTCTACTTCTGCCTCTGCCTCTGCCCTCGGTTGTACCAACAGGAGCAAGGATAGGAGAATCCTCTTCGTCATTGGGATTGGGGCGGGTGATCCTTTCAGACCTTCTGGATCTACTAGCCATCTGTAGATTTCAAAGTAAATATACACATTTCACATTCCCAAATATAATAAAGTGTCAAAGTTCAGTTATGTACCAGTAGATTTAAAATTACATTGGCTAGATGTAATCCGAAAATACCTTACACACTTATCTCTTAACTTATCATATTTATTCCAAAGGTGCTAACTATGTCTGGGACCCCTAATATGCAAAGAAACAGTTTAAGTCTTGACATCATGCATGTGAACACTTAAATCCTTTATACTCAGGCTCTAATACCAACTTGTAACACCCCCAAAACTCACATTGCATATAACACATATTTTCATTCATAGAATACATGTTCAAGCCCACAGAGGTCCATAATACAAGAGTCTACATTAGAAAATACAACATAAAAATTTCAAAATTCATGCTCTTGTATCCATAACATCTATCCTCCAAAACATATCCAAATATGATCTTCATATAGCTAAGCATGTAGGGAAATAATTCATATTTTCCCTTTTCCTTTA